GAGGGAGCGAAAGACAGGCTGAGGCAGAGAGGAGCTGAAGTGAAACTGATGAACTGCTCTGGAATAGGATGCTCCTTCAGAATGACCTCACCTTGAGGCAACCCTCCTATTGTCCAGTTATTGCCCCAGAGTGGAGGACAAGGGAGCACACTCAGGTGAGGCATTCTCACCCAAGGGCAGTTCTTGGAAAGACACAGACTCAGAGCCAACACTGCCTGCAGCTGGGAGTCCAGAAGGACATCTAGGTGGTGCTACAGCCTCCGCTATAGCACCCTCTGACCAGTCAGGTGCACCAGCTTCATAAAATAAGCTCAGAATAGCTCCTGCAGATTCTGCTTGGGCTCTTCCTGGAAAAACTTGGTTAGTGGGTAGAGTAGGGTCCCAGCCATTGTAGTTGGTCTCCAGGCCACAGCTAATGTCCTGTCTCTTTAGATCTAGACCTACTCTAGATCTCCCTCACCCTCAGCTCACACCTGTGCTGGTCTACACAGACACAGACCATAGTCCCTGAAAGAATCTGAACTTTGGTCACCGTGCCTTTTCTACAACTGGCAGGTGCATTCGTCTGTCTTCTGTTGAAATTGGACATGCAAGTACCATGGTCATCCATAGATAACCTGAGTGTCATTCTTCTCAGGCCCAACTGTCTAAGAGCAGCCCTGTCTCCTGGTGACTAGAGTCAAGTATTCCTGTTCTCGGATGACTTCTTTCTTACCTGCTCATCTCTTGACAAGATAAGCCCAAGGTGACCAAGTGGGCATTGTCATTTAAAGCTTAACAGGGTTCCTCCTGTGTTGGGCGCATGTATCCCCTGTCTGTCAATAGAAACCTCTAACCTACAGGACCTGAGTTGGCAGGGCTGAAACAAATTCTCAAGTGGTCACTGAGAGTAGTGATAAAACAATCACCTCAGGTTCCTATTCCTGTATAATAAGCTACCCCCAAACAGTACGTCAATACAGGTACTTATCTCAGTTTCTGTGGGTCTAGTATGCCTTTGGCTTAAGGTCTCCTGAGTTTGCAGCTGAGCTGTTGAGTAAGACCAGTATGGGGGCCGGCAGGTGGTGTGGTGGGTGGTTAAGGATGCTGAACTCCCATTTGGCCGACTGTGGTTCAAGTCCTAGACCTGGCAGCTTGCTTTCTCATTCTCTCTTTCCCCCTCCCTCTTTGGTCAAATAAATAAATAAATAAAGTTAAATAAAATAATTCTTTACGGGACCAGCAGGTGGCATGGTGATTAAGGTGCTGGACACTCCCACATGGCTGACCACGGTTCGAGTACTGGACCTGGTGGCTTGCTTTCTCACTTCCCCTCTTTCTCTCACCATCCCTGTGTCTCCCTCTGTCAAATTAAAAATCCTCCCTCTTTGGTCAAATCAATAAATAAATAAAGTTAAATAAAATAATTCTTTACGGGACCAGCAGGTGGCATGGTGATTAAGGTGCTGGACACTCCCACATGGCTGACCACGGTTCGAGTACTGGACCTGGTGGCTTGCTTTCTCACTTCCCCTCTTTCTCTCACCATCCCTGTGTCTCCCTCTGTCAAATTAAAAATAAATGAATGAATAAATAAATAAAATTGAATAAGTAATTTTTTTAAAATAAGAAAGAAAAAAAAAAAGAATGAGGAACTTGGACCAGCAGTTAGCATAATGGCTATGTCACAACTCCCACATAGCTGACCGCGGTTCGCATCCTGGACCCAGTGACTTAAACTCATGCCAGGTGCGTGTGCATATGTGCCCAAGATCCCGAGAGGAGGATGGAGGAGAAGGGATTGCTGTGTGGCTGTGCCCCCTGGGGAGTGATTTCTTGCTTTCTGTCTCTCTGTCTGTCTCTGTCTGGTGAGCGCACGCGACCTATAGCAAAAACCTCTCAAAAAAAAAAGAATGAGGAATTTGATAACCTAATTGCACTCGCCCAATGCAAGCCAGGTTGCTCCAATTAGACTGCCCAATTACTCCACCCCCCTAATGGGAATTAGGGCATTGACCAAAACGCTTGCTTTGGTCTTTCGATAAGAGAAAAATCTATGAATCATCCCTGTGTGCTTCCCTCAGGCTCCAAGGAAGGAAGATGGCAAATTGCCTCGCCCAACTTGATAACCTAATTGCACTCGCCCAATGCAAGCCAGGTTGCTCCAATTAGACTGCCCAATTACTCCACCCCCCTAATGGGAATTAGGGCATTGACCAAAACGCTTGCTTTGGTCTTTCGATAAGAGAAAAATCTATGAATCATCCCTGTGTGCTTCCCTCAGGCTCCAAGGAAGGAAGATGGCAAATTGCCTCGCCCTCCTGGTCCCCGGAGCTAGATGAGCCTTTCACTTTCCTAGTAGGGCTGCCCACTCATGGCTAACTAACTGCCTACCATAGCCTGCCCGGTAGTATATGATCCTTCCTCACGGGGACCTGCTTTCTCTCCCAGTAGGTTCTGAGTTCGGAAACTGAGCAAGGGATGACTTTTTATTGAGGTGGCCGCCTTCAGCCTTTTTATCATTAATTTCTTTTGAGTGTAGAAATTGATGAATACGCAACAGTTTATCATTCCCGCAAAGGCTGTTCTCAATTAACCATGTCTAAAATTCACCTTGCTACTAATGATGGTAATCTCCATCTTGTTCTTGATCGTATAGAAGTCAATATTGTTCTCTTTTTATTTGTATTCTGCAAGAGTCAAAATATAGGTGCTGAATATGTGGACTTTGGTGTCAAGTAGTCCTTTGGAATTCCAGCTTTATTCCATGTTCTCTCACACAAGTAGCAGATTTCTTTCTTATTTGTTTTAGGTTTTTACCCTAGGGGGTGTGTGTGCTAAGAGGGACAGATAAACAAAGGGAAAGTGAGAAATCATCCCCTGAGGGGGATGGCCATGGCCTACACAATCCTCCTCCATTCTTTTCTTGGGATTTTGGGATATGCACACACATATGCCTAGCATGATTTTCCAGGGCTCAAATCACAGTTCACCATGTGGGAGTCCAGCACCTTAGCCACTATTCCATAGCAGATGTCTTTTATTGTGGTTTCATTATCATACATGTAAATAAAAAATAGATGTGGGACCAGCAGATAGTGTAGCAGTTACGTCCCTGAACTCCCATGTGGCCAACCATGGTTCGAGTGCTGGACCCAGTGGCTTGAACCTCACGCTGGGTGTTTGTGCGTGTGTACCCAAGATCCCAGGAGGAGAATGGAGGAAAAGGGATTGCAGTGTGGCCACACACACACGGTGGGGGGGGGAGGGGGTGTTCTCACTCTCTGACTCTCTGTCTCTGTCCTGCGAGCACATGTACCCTGTAGCAAAAGACTCACTAAGGAAGGAAGGAAAGAAGGAAGGAAGGAAGGAAGGAAGGAAGGAAGGAAGGAAGGAAGGAAGGAAAACACAGACGCTCTGTTGTTTACTACTTTAGTAGAGGGCCTCTCTTGGGGTGAAATGTGAATGTCCTGTTTGGATGTCAGGACTCAGAACGTCTCTTATGGCAGGACAGCTGGTGTAGGAGTTAGTGTTTCTCCTGGATTCTCTTGTCCTTGTTTGTCACTTTAGATGCGTCTGAACCATCGCAAACTCCCCCAGGGTTCCTAGCCAAAGCTCAGACTTTGTTCTCCAAGCTACAAACCAAAATCACAACAGACTCAGCAAAATAGACCATTTTTAGCAATCAGTACAGTTGCTGCAGTTTTCTGAAATTTATAGACAATAAATGCTTCTGACAATTCAAGCACAGTGCAAAAATTTGTCTATGCTTTGAAAACCCTTTATCGTTTAGAGACTGGGAAGCACAGGGCTAAATGAAACTAACGGGAATGTCATGCTTCTGATGGTTCTGTTTCAATTAAGTAGTTGTTGGGTGTTCTAGAAGCCGAATAGCACCAAGCCCTGAACTAGGAGGTTGGGAAAATAGAACTTCTGCTTTCAAAACGTATCTAATTGGCTTTGACGACAAGACTTAAACTGATGATACTGTAAGAGGAAAAATCTCTATTTTACCTATATATGTATTTTTAATTGTTCTTATTTTATTTTTTTATTTAACTGTATTTTTAATTTATTTTTAATTTGACCAGAGAGGGACAGAGTGAGAGAGAGAGAGGGAAAGTGAGAAAGCAAGCTGCCAAGTCCAAGACTCAAACCATGGTTGACCATGAATTTTAAGCCACTGTAGGACTTGAACCACATTGACCACGTGGGAGTCCAGCAATGTAACCATAACACCATCTGCTGGTCCCTATACATATATTTTAACCCATATTTTTGGACTAAAAGCACATATTTATAAGCATTTTTTAAAATGCAAAAAAAGATCAAAATTAGGGATTTTTGCAAATATTTCTCAATCCTTACACTTGCCTTGGCGACAGATAGTATTACTCCTTTTTTTAAAAAAAAAATTATTTAATTCTACTTATTATTATTTTAATTTGACCAGACAGAGAGAGAGAGGGAAAGCGAGAAAGCAAGCCACCAGGTCCAGGACTCAAACTGCGGTCAGCCATGTGGGAATCCAGCACCTTTATCCACCACACCATCTACAGCCACCTGCTGACCCCACTATGACACCTCTTTTGCAGGTGAGAAAACTGAGGCTCATAGAGATTAAAGTACTTGCTCAAGATCAGTCAGCTCAAATGTGAGAGTTGTGCAATCAACTCCCTTATCTCCAAGCAGAAGCACCTGCCCTCCCGACAGACAGGCGCATGATGAATTAATCAGGAAAGGGCAAGATTGTGGAGGTGTTGGGAGGAGGGGCGTACACAAATTTGCCTTTTATACTGTAGCCCATGGCTGTTCCATCCAGAGTCCTGTCTAGCAGCATCCAAACTTTCCAGGTGTCCCAGGTGCAGAAAGCTCTTCTGCCTATGCTGACACCCGTCCTCTCCCTGCGCTGTTTGGGGGAATTTTCCCGGGGCATGGCTGCAGAGAACATTGGTGTCAGCTGCTGCTCCCTAAGGCTGCAAATCAGTCCCACAAACTGAGTGCCTGGGGGAGACCAATTGCAGGAGCATAAAAGACTGAGGAGGAGGAAGCTGCTGTTGGTAGTCACTTTTGTGGCTTCTTCTCTGAGAAGGTGGAAAAGGATATCTCTTCATAAACAGAGGTGGAGCGTGGAAACCGGCTGGGATTGGAAGGTAAGTCAGTCTGCATCTTTATAAGTGCACCCTTTCCAGCCAGGTCAGGCTGCTGAGCTCAGGCCGTCACAATTCCTGCTCTGAGAATGGTAGCGTCACCACCCGTGTGTTGCCTGGGACCCAGGAATGGGGCTTACTCTGCGTTCCTTGGGGACAGCTTGGCCTTGTGACAGACCTCAAGGGATGCTTGGCCTGCTGTAGGGAGAGCATGGTCTCTGAATCAGCAGGCCGTGATTCAACTGCCTGTTTTAGTTCCAGCTCTGTGCCTCCTAGGGAAGTGACCTAATTTCTCTGCTGCTCAGTTTCCCCCTTCATTGAGTAGAGGTCATAACACTTGTGGATTACTGTAGTTATCCAAAAAGACCATGTAAAAGGGTGTCCCATGCTTGGCTTCTGTTCTCAATGCCAAGCCTCCAGTGTCCACACCGCGTGCCCATCTGGACAAGCAATCTGGCTCCAAGCCGCAGCTTGTTTGTGTCACTTTCCTGTTCTTTCGAAGGTAGAGGCCAGCAGATGGCAGAGCAATTACGTTGTTGGACTCCAACCTGGCCAACTGTGGTTAGAGTCCTGGACCCGGTGGCTTGAAACTCATGCTGGGCATGTGTGCATGCATGCCCAAGATCTTGGGAGGAGAATGGAGGAAAAGAGATTGCGGCTGGCCATCCCCCCTTGGGGGTGATTTCTCATTTTCCCTCTCACTGTCTCTGTGTCTCCCCCCACCCCCAACTCTTCCCAGAGCACACACACCCTAAAGAAAAAAACTCTTAAAAAAAAAAAAAAAAGGTAAGTGCCCTGGAGGAAAGCTCTGCAGGTGTCTGTCTTGATGCTCAGGTAGCCCTGGGGGAGGGCTGCAGGGCCAGGGCCTGCTGTGCAGTCTGGGCAGGCAGTCCACCTCTCTGGCTTCCGTTCCTCACCATCACCAGGGGGGTAGTGATAGCTGCCCTCGGTTCCCTCGTTGCATGATGGGAGTAATCATGTCTGTCATCTACCGATAAATAGCCAGTGAGGATCTTGCCCTTCCCCAACTCACTCTCCAACAGCTGGTATTTGAGAAACTATCTGAGCCTGACTGGGGTGGGGATGTGGACTCTGCTGCAGGGAGGGTGCCCTGAGAACATGGCAGTGAAAGTCCTGTGAGCTGCTCCCAGCTGGGGGCCCTCCCCGATGCCTGTGGGTGCTGTGGTTTAGATTCGCAGGTGCAGCAGATCGCAACCCCTCCAGGCCTCTTGAGTGCAAAGCCATGGCTCAGAAGAACCCCAAAGACAACGGCATTACCTTCCCCTACAGAGACCTGGCCTCCGAGGTGACCAGGCGCAGAGTGACCATGACCACGAGGTACCTCCTGTTGGCTCCCCACAGGTTTGGGTGGGGTGTGAACGTGACCACTGAGCCCCACCAAGTTCCTGAAACTGCAGGAGGCCCTGACCCCCATAAATCCATTCAGCCGCTGCTGCAAGGTGCAACCCGTGGATGAGGAAACTGCTTCATCCCCTCTTATGGGAAACTGACCTTTCCAGAGGCCCCTGGGTGTGGGCCATGGTGTGGTGGGATGGACTTCACTGCAGTGGCTCATAATGGGGCTGGGGGTCACCTGGTTGCCTTGGTAATGTGATGGAAGCTGGGATGTGGCCCACCGGTGTCAGATGCAGTCCTTCACGATGTTGGGAACGGCCTGGGCTCCCTAGAAGCCCACCCTCATTCCCAACGAGGCCATCGCTCCCTGTGGGCAGGGGCTGTGTTAACCTTCTCTGGCATGTGCCAGGTGCGGGAACTGTGCTAGCGGACAACGAAAGAGTGAGTGGCCAGTGAGTCCTTAGAGGAGACCTGACCCAGCCTGATGAAAGGGAGAAGGCTTTGCCAGGGATGGGGCAGGCAGCTGCCTGTATGTCATGCTCCAGTTCTCAAAGGCCTTGGCCGTCCGAGACCTACCCCCACGTGGTAGGGTTGCAGATAAAATATAGAAAGCCCTGTTTGATTCAAATTTTACTTTTTAAAATTCAAAATAGTAGAGCGAGTGTGCATTCATATCAGGGAGTGATAGGGGGCGCTCTCCACAGGGTCTGATTACATCAGCATCCCCTCCTCCAGTCAGCCAGCCTCTGAGACAGGAGGGTCCTAGACACTCACACCTATGCCCAGTGTGCTTAATGCTGGCCGGGCTAGGGCTCTGAGCCATAGCTGCCTTGGGGAATTCAATTTCTCTAGAATGGTGTGTCACAGAGCTGGCCATAATTTAAATTTTTAGTGTATGTGCTGCCAAAGCAAGCAGGTTAACTTGGATTTTAGATAAAAACAATTTTTGGTTTAAGTGTGTGTGTACAGTAGTGTAACACGGATTATTATTTGGGATGATATTTAAATTATTTTTCTGGGATTCAAATCTAACTGGGTGCTCTAATTTTCTTATGTTTGACAAACGTAATGATGTCACTGGGGGAAGGTACTGTCTCTGGTCTGAAATCTCCAGATCTGGGAGTGGGGGAAAGGAAGTGCTCAAGATATCCCATAAAGGTGTATAAAGAAAAACTCTGGTCTCCAATTTATATGAAAACTGAACTCCACTGAAATGGCGTTTGGTTAGGCATACCGCCCTCCGGTGCGTCAGGTGATCCTGGGTGGGCTGCGACCCGCTCTTAAGGGTCAGTTGGGGCTGTAGGCTGAAGGAAGGCTAAGGTGGGGGCCTCCTCAGCCACGAACAGCAAATGTCATTGTGTTGTGATTCACTCGGGTTGTCTGTTATCTAGTCTTGAGGAATATAACTCTCAGTGAGATAAGGGACCTAAAAAAAATCTGCCAAGAAAGCTTAGGTGGAAGCAATTCTAATGTTGCAAATAAAACCAGACAAAAACTGGCAGAGCTGACACTTTGAGCTTGAACTCTTTTTGGGCACATGATGGGCTTAAAAATAATGATTTTATGCAATCTGATAAGTTGGCAAAAAAAAAAAAATCTGTTTTCTATTTGAAATATAAATTTCCCTCCAATATTGTTCATAGTGCTCCTTGGCCTTAGTTTATTGTGATATAAGATACTAGTGAGTTGATAGACTTTCTTGGTTAACATGCATATGAATGCTGAGAACCTTTACTGACAGAGTTGTGTGGCCAGTTCATCACCACGGGCTGAAACTGTAGGGCTTGGCATTGCCTCCAGGAGGTTGTGGTGTTGTGCTCCAGTGTCTACCCAAGAAGGAAGGTTGGGCACAAATCTGGGGCCTTGCGTGGGCTCCCAACTATCCTCTCTGCATCAACCCACGTCACTTAGCAATGTTAGTTAGGGTCAGCTCAGATTGAGATGGCAGCAGCAAACTCTGTCTAGGTCCAAAGCTGTGGAAAGATTACAGTTGCGCCTTTCCCGCCCACATGATCCAGGTAAACCACCTTCTACGTCACCTTTCTCAGCTGAAAGATTGATTGTGGAGTGTGGCGGAAAATCTGAACATAATCTGGTTCTTGTTTCCAGCTGGTTTCCGGTCTCTGTGCCCAGTGGGCATTCAGAGAATGTTAAATCTGAATCTGTAACAGCTGGACAGGTTAGTCCTATTCCCTTAAAGGCAGGGTTTGCCTAACCCTGGGCAGGTTGCAGAAGCCAGGGTACACTTCAGAACAGGAGGAGATCCTGTGGGCTGGGGAGGGAGGAAGGTAGGAAGAGGAGAATGTAAGATGTGCCCGAGACTGGACTGGCCCCATGACTAGCCGGGCTGCAGCAAGTGAAGGGTTGAAACTGAGCCTGTCCAGGCTGAAATGTGCAGAGCTGGTTGGCAGAGGATGGGGAGAGCCAGTGATGAGATGGCCTCCTGCTCCAATACCAAGAGACCCTAGGGGTGGGAGTGGACCTCAGCTCTATTGGTTCCTCCAGGCCAGTTGGGACAGTGATGCTTGCTGTGACAGGAGCTGTAGACTATGTAAGTGGACTAGCTTTTGTGTTTGCAGGTACTCACTCTGCAAGTATGGGCAGTGGGGTCTGGAAGGGTATCCTCCAGTGCTAAGTGGTTTTCTTTAGGTGCTGTTATCTGGGCTGGTTCTGTTGTTCTCTCTTCCTGTCTTATAAAAAGTCCTATCTGTATTCGAATAGCATTCAATGTGCTTTTTTTTTTCCCTAGAGAAGAGATAATTACCAAGGAAAGTGATGACGCTAGGGAGATGCACACTCATGAGGATTTGGAACGAGACCCTTCCCCCAGCATGGCTCATCCTACGGTCCCCCACGCCCCACCTCCTTCTCCTGCGGAGGATCCCACAGCCTCCTAAACATAGGGAAGCTGTTATTTTGAAGTGGACTCTTACATAACACTTCAGGAAGCAGCTTTAGTGACGTGCTTGGGGTTGTTTGAAGACGGTCTTGGAAGATCTTTATTCCTCCCTGGTTTCCTCCTCCTGGAGCCAGTTACATGTTGTCTATCCTCACCAATGCACTTGGAGTGACTGAGTTTTTCAAGCCAGGTCTCTGATGTGATAAGTCTAGAGATGATCTTGAATTTCTGCTTTGCTGCAGAACACTTACTGTAGTCAGTTACATATGAATTAAAAAAATGATCAAGCCTTGTTTGTTACTTAATCTTATAAAACAGCCATGTGGGGCCAGCAGGTAGAGTGGAGGTTAAGGCACTGGATTCCACATGGGCTTTGAACCATGGTTCAAGTCCTAATCCCAGCGGCTTGAAAAACACACGAGGCACAAGTACATGTAAGCCCAAAAAAATCCCAAGAGGAGAATGGAGGAGAAAAAATTGCAGCATGGCCATTCCCTCTGAGGGGGATTTCTTTCTTCCTCTCTGGCTCTGGTGAACACATGCACCCTATATATTAAAAAAAGAAAAAGAGTTCTAAATGATTGAAATATGTATAAAATTCTTCAGTAGAAAATTCTACCCTAAAAAGCTGCAAGAGCTGTCAGGTGGCATAGTGGTTATGGTGCTGGATTCCCAAATGGTTGACCATGGTTCAAGTCCTGGACTCGACAGCTTGAAACTCACATCAGGCATATGCGTGTGCATGCCCAAAATCCCAAGAGAATCGAGGAGAAGGAACTGTGGCATGGCCATCCCCAGTGGGGGGAATTTCTCACTTTCTGTCTCTCTCTAGCTTTCCAATGAACACATGTGCCCTATAGCAAAAATCTCTTTTTAAAAAATTGCAAATGCAGAGTGATTTAGTTCGGGCAGAGTACATTACATGGGTGCCCTGCTTAAGCCTCTGGACAGACCCCGAAGAACCTCTGAGAACTCTCGGGACTCTTTTGAAAGCATCCAAATGTAACAATTCATGTGGCCAGCCAGTGGTGTGGTGGTTAAGGTGGCTGGATCTCACATGACCAACTACGTGGTTCGAGTCCCAGACCCAAGGGCTAAATATACACTAAGCATGTGTGTGTGCATGCTCAAAATCCAGAGAGGAGAATGGAGAAGAAAAGACTGTGGTGTGGCCATCCTCCCTGGGGGGTGCTTTCTCAATGTCCTCCCCTCTCTCTCCTTCTCTGTCTCTCCCCAGCGAGGGTGTATGTCCTATAGCAAGCTTTAAAAAAAAAAAAGTAATAATTCAGATATATATATGGAAAATGTCCTTACATGACATCTTTTATCTGCTTCTCTGTAAGCTCCTTGTAAGCATTCTATCTCCAGGCCTGCTCCTAAAAATGTGCTCTGGGGGACTGCAGGTGGAATAGAGGTTAGTGCTGAACTTTCACATGGTCAACCAAGGTTTGAGTCCTGGACCTGGAGGCTCAAAACTCACGCTGAGAGTGTGTTCATGCCCAAAATCCCAAGAGGAGAATGGAAGAGAAGGGACTGTGGAGTGCCATCCTGTTGTGAGGGTGATTTCTCTCTGTCTCTCTGATGAGCACATTCGCTCTATAGCAAAAATCTCTTTTAAAAAGTACTCTGGTCCTCCCAGCACCAGTGGCTGTGCTGTTGGCATGGACGCCTGCTTTCTTGCTTGCACGGGTGTGGGTAGGGCCTGCCCTTGCCAGCTGGTGCCTGGCATACACACTGCTGCCACCTCGGGTGCCAAAACAGACCTGCACTGGCCAACAGGAGAAACACTAACCGCAGGTGATTACTTACATTTCAGTTAATTAAAATTAAGGGGACCAGTAGGTGGCATAGTGGTTGAGGCACTGGACTCCCACAAGGCCAACCATGGTTCAAGTCCTGGACCTTGCGGCTTGATATACTAGGCACATGTGTGTGTGTGCCCAAAATCTCGAGAGGAGGATGAAGGAAAAGGGATTGCAGTATGGTCACCCCCCCGGGGGATAATTTCACACTTTCTGTCTCTGTCTCTTTCTGGAGAGTGCATGTGCCCTATAGCAAAAATCTCTCTTAAAAAAAAAAATTAGGGACCAGTCCCTAGCCTAGTGAGTAAGAGAACTGGTTCCCACATGGCTGGCATCAATTCCAATCCTCGCCCTTGTGGCTTAAAAAAACAAAAAATATACCAGGTATGTAAGCTTGCATGCCCAAAATCCGGATAGGGTGGAGAAGTGGAAGAAAAGAGATTGCAGCATGATCACACCCCATCAGGGAGTGCTTTCCATCTCTCTTTGGTGAGTGCATGTGTCCTCTGGCACTTAAAAATTAAAATTCAGTTCCTTAGCCCCACTAGCCACATTTCAAGTGCTTAATAGGTGCATGTGGCTGGCAGTGGCCCTACTCGATGTGCAGATTTCACATGTCACAGAAAGTTCTATCAGGCAACGCCAGGACAGAAGTTAAGCCAGCTGTCCAAGGTCGCACAGCCAGTTACACCAGAATCGAGGGCCTGCCCCATCGTGCACTTATTATTGCTGTGGAGAGGAGTTCAGATCCTACATGGCCCGCCAGGGTTTGGGTCCTGGGCCCAGCAGGGTCGCACATACGTACCGAGGATCCTGATGGATGAGAACTGGAGGAAAAGGGATTGTGACACGACCAGGTCCCATTAGGGGTGTTTTTCTCCTTTCTCTCCTTTTCTCTCATGCTTGTACACATGCCTTATGGCATAGTAAAAGAAAAAAATGGGGACCAGCGGTTGGCACAATGGCTATGTCACTGGACTCCCATGTAGCCGACCATGGTTTGAGTCCTGGACCCAGTGGCTTAAACTCGTGCTGGGCATATGTGTGTGCGTGTCCAGGATCCTGAGAGGAGAATGGAGGAGAACAGATTGCAGCGTGGCCATCCCCTCCTGGGGGGTGATTTCTCTCTCTCTGTCTCTGTCTTTCTGGCGAGCGTACGAGCCCTATAGCAAAAACCTCTCCAAAAAAAAGAAAGAAAGAAAAAAATGCATTGAGGAGACGGGGAGGAAAGGACTAAGTTTTGTGTTAGTTTTATTTCTAGTTTTGTTTCTGAGCATGTTCCAGAATGTTCTTTCAGTTTATCTGTCCAGTAAATATGGTTGAGCACCTCCCATGTGAGCCAGGACCGTTCTAGGAATATATCCCTGTGCAGAGCACTCAGTCTCTGAGACTATGGAGTTTACACTCCAGTGGGGGTAGACCAACATATTCACAACTTGAAAACAGTGTATCGTATCATAGAGGAGATCTTCCAAGATTTCTTGGAAATGTGTATCATGAAAAATGTATGCATAAATTAAAAAAAAAATTTTGAACTTAAATGTTTAATTCCATTTTCCCACAGACTGTTCAGGGTCCCCCTCATACATCAGGAGATGATATTGAAAAAGAAATTCTGAAATAGTCAGATGAGGTAAGGGAGATGGGATGTGTCTGAAGAAGTGGCGGGTTACCCTGTTTTAAATAGGGTGGTCTGCTTAGGCCTCCTTAAGGTGACATGTGAGCAAAGACGTGAAGCCAGTGTGGAGTTAGGTATGTGACGGCAGGACAGAGGCAAGAGGCAGGTTTGAGCCAAGTGCTGAAGTTTGAAGGCAGAGGTGTGTCTGGTGTGTTCAAGGGTGAGCAGTGAAAGGACACCGATAAAAGGTGATGTCACAGTGGTGAAGAAGGGACCTCTGTCCTGTGGGCTGTGGAAGGACTCTGACTTTGACTGGCTGAGATGGGGAGCCCTGAGCGTTCTCAGACAGAAAGGGGTATGATCTGGTGTGGATTTTAGGGGGTTGCGTTGGCTGTGCTCAGAGCAGGTTGGGGTGGGAGTAGAAATGGTCCAGATGTGATCGCAGTAATCCTGGGACCAGAGGATGGTCGTTAGGGCCAGTAGAAGCAGGGTGATGAGAAATGGGTCGGATTCAGGCTCTCTGTATTTGAAACTGGAACTAACAGAAGTTGCTGATGGGTTGGCTATGGGGTATGGGAAGCAGGGTAAACGACAACACCCAGGTTTTTGGCCTTAGTTGCTCAGTGCGACTTTGACGTGTCTGGGGGTGGAGTGGGGTAGGGAAACTCAGAAGATCAGTGTGTGGTAACTTGATGCACCTAGTAGACATCTAGGGGAGATGTCAAGGGGGCAAATAAACACGTGGTTTTGGAGTTTGCATGTAATGGCTGGGCTGAGAGGTGGGCCATCAGTCTCGGCCTGCTACTTACGGCCCTGATACAGGTGAGAGCACAGAGAAAGGAGTAAGGAAGTGACCCTACACAGAACCTCGGCACTTCAACCTTAAGAGGTTGGGGCTAATTACCAGCTAAACTTGCTATTGTTAGATTATTTAAGAAATTGTGTGATCATTAAAATGTGGGGGGGGAAGGAATGGAAGACAACTGTAGACACCAGAGATAGTGTGAGAAGAGGGTGGGAAAGGGCAGAGGGTCAGACATGGGGTAAATATTTATATAAAACTAGAAATGGAAAATTATTGATGATAACATACATGATTAAGCCACTGTGCAGTATATTCTGGATGGGAACTACACTTTGTATACTGTGATGATGATTAGGGGATGAATGTAAATTAATCAATTAAAAAATGTTTCAGGAGAAAAATACAAAAACCGTTTTTCTTGAAATAAAAAAAATGCTTATTTGATGACCGCAGTAAGCTATATAGCCCCAGCTAGGTGCTACTTTATAGTATGTTCATTCTACTCCCTGAGGTTTATGCCTAAAGTCAGACTTGTGTTCATGGATATGTATATATCAGCTGTGCTTGCTATTGGAAATATTTAGATGAATTCAGTTCATTAGCAAATCAATAAAATAGGGAGGAAAGGCACAGAAAGCAACCCTGAATACTAGAGACAGTGTGGGAGGAGGGTGGGAAACGGCAGAGGGTGAGAGATACGGAATCAAGGATGGCAAAAAAAAAAAAAAGGCAAAATATACAGGAAACAATAAATGGTAAATTATTTGTTGACGATAATACGTATGTTGATGTGCTTGATCGAGCCAATAAACAGTGTATTCTGGATGGAAAATTTCATTTTGTATGTTGTAATAATGTATAGTGAATGAATGTAAATAAATAAGTTTAATAAGAAAATAAAAAGTAAATAAAAAGAGGTTGGGGCTAAAGGGAGAGCCCAGTCGAAGAAACAGAGAAGGAGCAGTCGATGATGAAGATGTCTCCTGTTCTGGAAGCTAAGCCAAGAAACAGTGTCTGCCATCTTTCCTTCTCCCTTCATCTTCTTTCATCCCAAAGCCAGAGAAGTATTTGAGGGAGAGAGAAAAGGAGCTGTAGGTATAGGCTGTGCAAGGGGATTCTCATCACCTGTAGGAGAGTCGCCTACTCGCCCAAGGGTGTCTCCTCACCTTCCACTTGCCGACCAAACACCTGGCAGCTACAGATGCTCAGGAGGGAGGAGTTCATGCATTATAACTTCTGCCTTTTCTAATCTTTAACAATCTGGGGGAACATCTCAAGTGAGAGAAGTAAAGAAGAAACCTTAAACTGAACCCTGGGGTTGGGGGCTGAATGTGCCCCATACCTGCCTCAAATCATAAATCAAAGTCCTAATCCCAATATCAGAATGTAGACTCTCTTTGGAAATGGAGTCTTCAGTTCAAATGAGGCTATTACATGAGCCCTTGTCCAATATAACCATTATTCTTATAAAAAGAGGAGATTAAGACCACCAATACACAGAGAAAACCATGCAGAGATAGTGAGAAGGTGACCATCTGAAAGCCAGAGAGAGCCTTCAGAAGAACCAACCCTGCTGTCACCTTGATTCCAGACTCCCAGCCTACAAAAGTATGAGAAAATAAAACTCGATCATTTATGCTCTTCACGTCTTTGTTACGCAGCCTGAGCAGACTAATATTCCCGTGGAGAGCCCCTTCCCTACTCACTCACGGTGTGTGTAGCTTCCATGAGAACTGACTACCAGCAGAAAAGAAAAGTCAAATGCTTGGCTTTACCTTCCAAAGAATAGTTTTTGGAACTCATGGTAGGGAGAATTATCTTTAAAGCCAAGGCTTCAACTCCTAAGATCTGGTTCTCTTGGCCTGCAGAGGCTGAACCCTGGTCCCATGAACAAAACCTACAAAGAAACACAGGAAGGGTTAGAATGTCCCGTCCTGCAGGCTGAATAAAGTTTGGGAAGCAAAGGTACTAAAAAGTGAGAAAGCAAGAGACCTTAGATTCTGGAGACTTTCTGACAGAACCTCCTGTCCCAGCAGGTTGGGAAGCAGCGGGGACGTGAGCTGTTGGCAAGTACAGCCTGTGTAAGTAGCAAACTTCCAGCTGATGTGCCCATGTGCCAGCTGGGGGCAGCGGCACAGTCAAAAGGAAACTGTCTTTGTGCCACTGGCTCCTGGGGTGTTCCCACATTTTGGGGAGGGCCGCATGACAGGCTAGGAGAAAGCAACATGTCTAACAGGAGGACGCTGGACCTGAAGCTGCAGAGAGGATGTGGATGTCAGGAGAAAACACTGGAGTCTGTGCTGATGGCAAAGCCCGGCCCTGGCTAGGGCCTCCCTGCACTGCCTCAGACACGGACCCTCTGTGAGGACAGGAAAGAAAGGAGAGCCGGGGCTGATGGACTGAGGGCACACGGAGGAGCAAACTCCAAGCTGAGCTGGCAGGACCAAGTGTTCTGCTGTTCAATGTGATAGCAACTGAGGACAGCAGTTAAGTGCAGTTATTAAAAATCATGCTAGGGAACCAGCAGTTAGCGTAATGGCTATATCACTGGACTCCCATGTAGTCGACCACGGTTCGCGTCCCAGACCTGGTGGCTTAAAACTCAAGCCGGGTGCGTGTGTGTGCGTGCCCAAGATCCTGAGAGGAGAATGGAGGAGAAGGGATTGCGGCGTGACCATCCCCCCTGGGGGGCAATTTCTCGCTTTCTGTCTCTATGTCTTTGTCTGTCTGGCGAGCGCACATGCCCTATAGCGAAAAACCTCTCCAAAAAAAAAAAAAAATGCTATATGGGAGCCAGCAGATGCTGTGATAGGTAAGGCACTGGATCCCACATGGCCCACTGAGCTGTTTGAGCCCTGGATCTGGTGACTTGAAAAAATCCCACTGGGCATATGTGCACACATGCTCAAAATCCTGAACAGAGAACGGAGGAAGGAATTGTGTCATGGCCATACCCCTGCCCCGGGAATGCTTTCTCACTTTCCTTCTCTCTGTCTATCTCTCTATGGTGAGCACACATACCCTACAGAAAAAACTTAATCATAATAATAATGCCCTGAGCCTGGAGGAGAATGGGGAGCTATAATTTAAGGGGTGGAAAGTTTCGGTTTTATAAGATGTACTAAGTTCTGGAGATGGACGGCGATGGTTGCACAGCGGTGTGTATGTATTTGATAACACTGAGCTGTGCACTTGAAAATGGTCAAGAGGGACTACAAGGTGGTGTGGAGGTTAAGGCGCTGTTTCCTATATGGCTGACTACACTATTGGTAGATTGGGAATCACTGTGTGTGCGTGTGCACGCATGTGTCTGTGCGTGCGTGTGCGTGACCAAAATCCCAAAAGAGTGAAGAAGGGATTGTAGCATAGCCATCTCCCTGGGGAGTGATCTCCCACTTTCCCTCCTTCTTTGTCTCTCCCTGGCGAGCACCTGTACCTTATGCAAAAACTGAAACAAAACAAAACAAAAAAAAACACGTATCATGATAGGGCCAGCCAGTGTCATGGTGATTAAGGTGACTGGACCCCACATGGTTATGTAGTTCAAGTCCTGGACTAGGCAGCTTAAAAAACACAGGGTACATGTGCATGTGTGCCCGAAATTCTGAGAAGAGAATGGAGGAGAAGGGATTGAAGTGTGGCCATCCCCCCCCAGAGAGTGTTTTCTCACTTTCCCTGTGTCTCTGCATGTCTCTCCTCAGCAAGTGCACACAGCTTGTAGTAAATTAAAGAAAAAAAAGGCAAGATGGTGAATTTTGTTGTTTATATTTTACTGCAATTTATTGCAAATTGGGAAAGAAAAGAATGTTATAAATTTTGCCCCCATGAGGTTGTGACTTACAGATCTCATATCCAGGGCAACAGATAAAAGCCAGAGTGGAGGCAGAATGAAGAACGGGTGAGTCGGGGAGGAAGAGGAAGGTTGTTCAGCAAGGGCCCAGAGTACCAGGAGGTGAAAGTGGGCAAGTGTGGATTCTACCACTTGCCTGGCTTCATTCTGGGCAACTCCTCAAAAGCAGGCACAGGAGTCTGTCAGTGGTGCAGCAATAACAATGACATGGGGACACTCTGGGTTTACAACCAGAGACATGACGTGCTGCTGTCCCTAACAACATCAGGTACACATGTGCTTATGATTTGAGCTGGCTGGAGCTGTGGGTGGATTGTGGCATGAAGACCCAACTAGGGGTGCCTGTCTTGCACCCAAAAGAATAAATAGACTTGGGACCAACAGTTGGCGTAATGGCTATGTCGCTGGACTCTCATGTAGTTGACCACAGTTCAAGTCTCAGATCCGGTGGCTTAAACTCACGCTGGGCGCATGTGCATGTGTGCCCAAGATCCCAAGAGGAGAATGGAGGAGAAGGGATTGCGGTGTGGCCATCCCTCATAGGGGGTGATTTCTCACTTTCTCTCTCTCTTTTTCTGGTGAGCTCACACGCCTTATAGTAAAAACCTCTCCAAAAGAATAAATAGACTTAAAAAGACCAACAGACACAGCCTCTCGGTTATATACATGCATGCACCACACACACACACACATCTTCAACCTTGTGCAATCACATATCCTCCCAGCCTGAAGGGCTTATCTGATGGTTGGAATCTGCGCTCTTTTCTTAAGCAAAGGTTCCCACAAGAGTCAAGGAAGACAATGTTGAGCAAGATCATTTTATTTCACAAGGCTCAGGGTTACACGATACCCACTGGGTCCTATCTAAAGCACCGGAAGCCAGCGGCAGAAAACACGTCCTACGTGTGGGCAGGCTGCGCCAGAGCTCACCCTCTCCCCTTGGGAGAGCGCTTGTGATATGGCTCTGCCCGTCATGCAGTATGCAAGAGCAGTAGCTTTCGTGAAGGAACTAGTGCCTCATAACTTTTGCCCCACATGACCGGAAAACCTGAAGTCTTCCAGTTAAACATTCCTCTAAAAGCTGCTAGGACAGGAGAATATCTGTTATAATATGAGACTGTTATGTGCCCATGGCTGGTCCTGCAGTCAGGTGGTGAGGTGGGCGAGGCCCTTCTGCACTAATGAAGGTTGGAGAGCTGTGTGAAGCTGCACGGGCTCCTGCTGCCCCTCCCTTCAGCCTGCTCCCCTGGGGCCCTGGACATCCCCCTCTGCCTTTGCTGGATCCCCTCTGGGCTTTCACATCTTGGAGAGCCTGACGTTGTAGGTGACCATGTTGAAGTTGTCCCAGGCGAACAGCTGCTTCAGCAGGGGGTTGTAGTCGATCATGCTGCTGTAGCGGTACCGGTTCCTGAATGGGATGCTCAGGGCCTTGCTGCTGCTTGTGCCTGTGTCGTAGGCAAAGTTGATGGTGGCATTGGCTGAGGAGTAGCTGCTGACAGTGTACAAGGTGCCACAGATGACAAAGGCGTTGGCTACTGACTGCTTGCGGATGTTGGTCTCCCAGGTCTGTTCCAGCTCCAGGTTCTCTGGGTTCAGTCTAGAGAGGACAATGGCGCCTTTGGCCTCCTCGGTGCTGTAGATGACCCAGAGGTCTGTCTCATCCACAGCCAAGTCGATGTCTGTGTAGCCGCCCCAAGAATACGGGAACTGCCCATGGTAGCCGGCCCCAGGGATTTCCTTCTCGGCCTTCACCGTCTCGGTGCTCAGCTCATACCTGATCACCATCCTGGACGCGGCCCCCTGGAAATAGAAGCTCCCCTTGTACACCACGGCGCCGGTGCTTTCCAGCGGCCGGGGCAGCACGTGAACCTTGGAAGGGTAGCCCTGCGTGAACTGGCTGATGAGGCTGTACTCAAACACCTGGCGGATGTCGGTGCCCACAGTGTCGACCCTCCATGTGGTCTCCTGCGTGTAGGGGTAGGTGGGCTTGGGGTCTCTCATCCACACGCCGTACTTGCCAGTAATGGTTTCAGCTGTTCTCACAGTGACAGGCTCCCCAACCCACACGAGTTCTCCACATCCTGGCGGATAAAATAGCAAAATGAAACACCGCTTAGACATCCTCTTTATGAATACAGAGACGGTCTAGAAGTGGGCCCTAGAGACAGACGGTCTGGGTTTAAATCTGGACTTTGGCACCCACCGACTGTGTGGCTTTCAGTAAGGCACTTAGCTCTTTAAGATTCCGTTTTCTCAAGTGTTTTGGGTAGCGGGGCGGTTGTGCGCTTTAAGCCTAACTCCAGGTGACGAGAGAAGTATGCAGTGACTGTCCCGTGCTCACGCTGCCATGTAAACCCAGCTCCTCGGTAGCAGCTGTAAAGGCAGAGGTTGCCCAGAGACTCTGAAATCATCTGCCGAAACTGGGCAGGGTGTTCACTGCGTTGCTCTTTAAAACTTCCCTGACTGGTTTATTTCTTTATTTAAAAAAAGGAAAGAGAAAAATGAACCTAGTTGGAGGAATAATCTCCATACAACAATTTTTTGAGCCCTAACTAATAGGCCACATATTTAATGTATCATTTTCATACCATAAAATCTGAACTTTTTTTTTTTTTTTGAGATTTTGCTAGAGAGAGTGTGTGTGTGCTCGCTAGAGACAGAGATACAGAAAGTGAGAAATCATCCTCTTGGGGATGGCCATGCAGCAATCCCTTCTCCTACATGCTCCTCTTGGGATTTTGGACAGGCACGCATATGTGCTTAGTGTGAGTTTGAAGCCATTGGGTCTGGGACTTGAACCGTGGTCCACTACATGGGAGTACAGCAACTTAGCCATTATGCCATCTGCTGGGCCCCCTGAACATGTATTTTTAATGTAGCAAAGAGATAGCTGAATATTTTGATTTAGCAGAATCACAGTAAATCTCTGTACGTGAATGAGCACCTTCAATTTCCTCCCAGAAGGTAGACACTCTTTGCTGCTCATATCACAAAGAATCATATTTTAAATATTTCATCATTCCCATCCCTGGAGCTGGCTACCATGGGAAGTCCCATATTCTTGGGGCAGCTTCACCAACATGCTAGCAATAAATATCAAGCACATGGATAATGAAAGTTTCTAAAAACTATAGTCTTAGTCTTAAATTTAGGCTTTCAGGGAACATTGTAGCGGGGGAAAGATTGTACTTTTCCTAAGTGACTAAAATTCAGCAAAAATACCTTATTTTTATACTGATATACAAAAATATCTGACAGACCGATATGGTGGTGCGTGGTGTGTACCTAGCCCTAAGAGAGAGGTGCGAAGGTGCTACTGGAAAATGCAGTACCTCAGGTGTGGTCAGCTCCATGTGACAATCAAGCAGGGAAGCAAACACATCGTATCTTCCTGGAAGCAGCCCAGCCCAGCATTCCAAGGGTGGAGGCTGGGATCCAGGGCTTTGCTCGGGTAAAGCTGACTTCCTGTAAACCTTTCCTGACAAACGCCCTCCGTTTCCTGTCCTCTGTTTTCCCTGGCAGGGTATGTATTCTATACCAGCTCTGAGCACAGAATCAGAGCTGGATATAAAGACCGCACAAAAAGAAAAAATCGAACTTCATACCACTGTCTCCTCCTTCAGTCCTGGGATGGCCAGATGAGCTTTCCTTCAAGATGTGAGAAGCAGGGACTTCTGTCAACTCCGACTTCAGTTCTTGGAAGGCCAAAGTGTCCAAATTCCATTTAGCAACTGCAATAAAAGAAAGAGACAGAATGGTGCTATGAGAAGCAATGGCCCAGGGGTCCACCGTACTGAGGATGGCATTTAAATAGGCTCTCAGAGTGTGTGTGTGCTCGCTAGAGACAGAGATACAGAAAGTGAGAAATCATCCTCTTGGGGATGGCCATGCAGCAATCCCTTCTCCTACATGCTCCTCTTGGGATTTTGGACAGGCACGCATATGTGCTTAGTGTGAGTTTGAAGCCATTGGGTCTGGGACTTGAACCGTGGTCCACTACATGGGAGTACAGCAACTTAGCCATTATGCCATCTGCTGGGCCCCCTGAACATGTATTTTTAATGTAGCAAAGAGATAGCTGAATATTTTGATTTAGCAGAATCACAGTAAATCTCTGTACGTGAATGAGCACCTTCAATTTCCTCCCAGAAGGTAGACACTCTTTGCTGCTCATATCACAAAGAATCATATTTTAAATATTTCATCATTCCCATCCCTGGAGCTGGCTACCATGGGAAGTCCCATATTCTTGGGGCAGCTTCACCAACATGCTAGCAATAAATATCAAGCACATGGATAATGAAAGTTTCTAAAAACTATAGTCTTAGTCTTAAATTTAGGCTTTCAGGGAACATTGTAGCGGGGGAAAGATTGTACTTTTCCTAAGTGACTAAAATTCAGCAAAAATACCTTATTTTTATACTGATATACAAAAATATCTGACAGACCGATATGGTGGTGCGTGGTGTGTACCTAGCCCTAAGAGAGAGGTGCGAAGGTGCTACTGGAAAATGCAGTACCTCAGGTGTGGTCAGCTCCATGTGACAATCAAGCAGGGAAGCAAACACATCGTATCTTCCTGGAAGCAGCCCAGCCCAGCATTCCAAGGGTGGAGGCTGGGATCCAGGGCTTTGCTCGGGTAAAGCTGACTTCCTGTAAACCTTTCCTGACAAACGCCCTCCGTTTCCTGTCCTCTGTTTTCCCTGGCAGGGTATGTATTCTATACCAGCTCTGAGCACAGAATCAGAGCTGGATATAAAGACCGCACAAAAAGAAAAAATCGAACTTCATACCACTGTCTCCTCCTTCAGTCCTGGGATGGCCAGATGAGCTTTCCTTCAAGATGTGAGAAGCAGGGACTTCTGTCAACTCCGACTTCAGTTCTTGGAAGGCCAAAGTGTCCAAATTCCATTTAGCAACTGCAATAAAAGAAAGAGACAGAATGGTGCTATGAGAAGCAATGGCCCAGGGGTCCACCGTACTGAGGATGGCATTTAAATAGGCTCTCATAAGATGCTTGAGATTTGCTGTAGGATAATAATGTTGGTGGGAAGGAGAAAGAAAGATAAAACATGTCTGCATGATGCCAATAACTATTGGAGCTGGGTGATGACTATGGCAGAATTTATTTTGGCCTCTCTATGTTTGTGAATGTTTGAAAAGTTCTGTAATGAAAAAGCCCACCGGTTGGCCCCGTGGTGCAATGGTTGAGTGCCGTGCAGAGGAAGCTAGATTCCACATGGCCAAGTGGGGTTGGAGTCCCAGCTCTGGTGGCAACATGCATAGCACATACACATGTGCTCAGGATCCCAAGGGGATGGAGATTTGAAGGAGAAAGGATTGTGGCATGACTGGGCCCCTTTGTGGGGTTCTCTCTGTCAGTCTTTCTCTTGTAAGTATGTCCTGTGGAGGAGAAAACCTCACAGGCCCAGCCTCAGTGGTACAGGTGAGAGCATACTGAACTACAGTGCTGGAAGCCATAGGGTCAGCCATGAGTTTGGATCTCCAGCCTGCTCAAGTCAAAGCATGCCAAGTGCATGTACTTGGGCCCAAGACCCTGTTGAGCAGGAGGACCAGGGGAAAGGATTGCACCATGACAAGACCCTGTCAAGGAGGCCCCTCCTGTTCATACGCTATCATGGATTAAAAGAAAAAAAAAAAAACTAAAAAAAACTCACAGATAATAAATTACCTAACAATATGCCTAGCACTGTGTAGGGCATTCAAAATAAAGTGACATAAAGTTTTACACAATTAAAAAATCATTATGTGAGAACCAGCAGTTAGAGTAATGGCTATGTCACTGGACTCCCATGTAGTCAACTGCGGTTTGCATCCCGGACCCGGTGACTTAAAACTCATGCCAGGCGCGTGTGCACGCGTGCCCAAGATCCCGAGAAGAGAATGGAGGAGAAGGGATCACGGCGTGGCCACCCTCCCAGGGGGTGATTTCTTGTTTTCCATCTCTCTGTCTCTGTCTTTCTGGCGTGCGCACGTACTCTATAGCAAAAACCTCTCCAAAAAAAATTCATTATGTGACTTAGTTCTTACTGTGTGCAAATATTCCTATAAGAAGTAAAATGTTACATCTTATACACTCCATGGAAGAATTCCATTAGATCTCCTTTTTGAGACCATTTTGCAGGGCATGTGGAAGAGACTGTGTATTTTTGTATACACAGGAATTTAGGGAGACCCAGTTGGTGGTGTGGTGGTTAAGGTGGCTGGATCCCATATGGGGGATCTCAGGGTTCAAGTACTGGACCTGGCAGTTTGGTAAACGCACCAGGCACATGTGCCAAAATCCAAAGAAGTGAATGGAGAAGACTTTGCAACATGGCCATCCCCCTGGGGAGTGCGTGCGCTCGCTCTCTCTCGCTCTCTCTCTCTCTCGCAAGCACACACAGCCTATAGCAAAATTTTAAATAAGAAGATAGAAAATTTGGGGCCAGCAGGTGGTGTGGTAGTTAAAACACTGGACTCCCACAATGGGTGACCCTGGTTTGAGTCCCGGATCTGGTAGCTTGTTTTCTCACTTTCCCTCTCTCTTGCTTTCTGTCTCTTTCTGGTGAGCTAATGTGCCCTAAAGCAAATTTAAAATAATAATAATAATTGGAACCAGTAGATGGCATAATGGTTACATTGCTGGTCTCTCATGTAGTCAACCATGGTTTGAGTCCTGGACCCAGCAGCTTAAAACTCATGCTAGGTGTATGTGCGTACATGCCCAAAGTCCCAAGAGGAGAATAAAAGAGAAGGGATTGCAGCGTGGCCATCCCCTCTGAGGGTGATTTCTCATTTTCTGTCTCTATCTCTCTGGCAAGTGCACATGCCCTATAGCAAAAATCTCTCTCTCAAAAATAATAATAACAATAAATAAATGAAATAGTCCTTAAAAATAAATTTAAAAATGAAAACAGACAATTTTAAAAAGTAATTTGGCACTGGGAGGGTTTGAGCCATGGAGAAGGGAAGAGGTGTAGATGACGTTGGTTCGACATCCAGGTCACTGTGTACTGCACCTCTCTGCTTTTGTTTAGGGTTACAGTTTACAGCAGTTTGTTTGTTTTGTTTGTTTGTTTTAGCAGATAAAGGCTTATTCTATTTAAACGATGATCTGAGTAACTGCCAATGCCACTGTACAGACAAGAGACGGGGAGCTTTATTTCTTGGTCTCTTCCTCCTTGGACAGAGTATTGATGATCTCTTCCCTCTTGGCCTGGAGGCGCTCCTCACGGTGCTTGAGTACTTCCTTGGTCTTAGACCTGCCGGCCTCAGCCTGGTCTGCTAGGAGCTCCTTTTGCGGGCCTTGTCTGCCTTCGGCTTGTGGGTGTGCTCCATGAATCCACTTGTTCTTGAACACATTCCCCTTCACCTTCAGGTACAGGCTGTGATACACGTGGCGATCAATCTTCGACTCCCGGTATCTTCTGAGCAGCCGGCGCAGGATCCTCATTCTCCTCATCCAGGTCACCTTCTCTGGCATTCTCGCATTGGCCATACCCTTTCACTTCCCTGTGCCCATATGCCTCCCCTTCTGGCAGGCCAAGGTGTTTTTCCAGCATTGAGCCCAGGAACGGACAGTCACAGGCTTGCAGACAGTCAACCCATCCTTGATCAGCTTCTGGATCTGCTGACGGGAGTTGGTATTGGCAACTGAATTGGTCTCATTGGGGTCCAACTAGACCTTCTTTTTGCCACAGTGGAGAACACTAGAGGCAAGCCTCTTCTGAAGCCTGAGCATACACATGGCTGTGGCCACAGTGCTGAAAGGGAAGCTATAGCAGTTCTTTAAAAAAATGTATTTACTTTTATTTATTATTTTTAAATTTTATGAGAAAGAGAAGAAAGCAAGCCACCAAGTCTGGGACTCGAACCATGGTCAGCCATATGGGAGTCCAGTGTCTTAACCACCACACCTCTTTCCAGCCCCTACAGCAGTTCTTGAATACAAGGATGAAGCAATAGCCACAAGGAACAAGCTGGGCTGCTTTAAAATGGAGGTTTTGCTATTATTCAGGTATGGCAAGACCAGGAGATCAGGAGACAACGGCCATCAGGGGACCAGCAGTTAGCGTAATGGCTATGTCACTGGACTCCCATATAGTTGATCACGGTTCAAGTCTCAGACCTGGTGGCTTAAACTCATGCCGGGTGTGTGTGTGTGCATGCCCAAAATCCCAAGAGGAAAAAGGAGAAGGGATTGAGGCGTGGTCATCCCCCCTGGGGGGTGATTTCTCACTTTCTGTCTCTCTGTCTCTCTCTCTTTCTGGCGAGCACATGAGCCCTATAGCAAACACCTCTCCCAAAAAAAGAAAAGAAAAGAAAAAGAAAAAGAAAGATAGCCTGAGGCCAAACTGGGGTGGGGGAGGAAAATCAGTGTTGCTGAGGAATGGGGAGTGATCTTTAGGGGAGTAAAGATTCCTCTGATACTGTATCGTGGGTTCATGTCATTGTACATTCGTCCAAACACAGAGACCACACAGTGCCAAGAATGGCCATAGAAGAGACGAGTGGGTTCTGATGATGGTGGGACAGTGCAGGTTCCTGGGTCGCGACCCATGTTCCACTCTAGGGGGGGAGGTCGCAAACGGGAAAGCCTAAGCATGTGGGGGTGGGGCACGTAGGAAATCTCTGTAACTTCTGCTCAGTTTTGCTGTGAACCTAAAACTGCTCTGAAAAAAGAATAATAAGGGACCAGCAGTTAGTGTAATGGCTAGGTCACTGGACTCCCACGTAGTCAACCGCAGTTCGTGTCCCAGACCCGGTGGCTTAAAACTCACGCCGGGCACGTGTGCATGCGTGCCCAAGATCCTGAGAGGAGAATGGAGGAGAAGGGATTGCGGCATGGCCATCCCGCCTCGGGGGGTGATTTCTCACTTTCTGTCTCTCTGTCTCTCTCTGTCTGGCAAGTGCACGCGCCCTATAGCAAAAACCTCTCCAAAAAAAAAAAAAAAAAAGAAGAAGAAGAAGAAGAAGAAGAATATGGTCTTAGAAAAGTAGCTTGTGGAGCCAGCAGGTAGCATGGTAGTTGGGGTGCTGGGCCCTCCAAAATGGTCGATATCAGGTTTGTGGTTTGAGTCCAGACCTGGCAGCTTGGCTTCTCTCTTTCTCTGATGAGCTCATGTACCCATAGCAAATTAAAAATAATAATGCTATATAAAATTAAATAAAAAATTTAAAGTAGCTCATTGGGGCTGGCAGGTGGTGATTAAGGTGCTGGACTCCCACATGAGTGACCCCAGTTCGTGTCCCAGACCTGGAAGCTTGCTTTCTCACTCTCCATTTCTCTCTCTCTCTGGTCAAATGAGGAACAATAATAATAAATAAAACTTAAATAATTATTTTAAGAAAAAGTAGCTTGTTATACTCAGAGATCCCAAGGGGAGGGGGCACACCAGGCCATGGGTGTCATCTTGGAGAAGCACCAGGGTTGCTCCGGAGGCAGAAGGAGTGAGGGGAAATGCAGAGACTTTATGGTTCTTTCCATGGAGAAGAACGGGGAGGCTGGCGAGCAAGCTCAGGGTACATTAGCTTGAGTAATTTCAGGGCTCTGGACATAGAGCTGTCCCTGGTTGTCTGGTACACCTGGCCTTCAGGTGGCTCGGGCAGGAGGTAGTGGCGCTGAGAGTGAGAGCTGAGCCGGACAGCAGGTAAAGGAGCTGTAGCCATCCACCAGCCTGGGAGGAGTCTCCTGCCCCCACAGCAAGGCCAGCGGCAATGCCTCAGACGGCGAAGGCGAACTGGGGCTGTGACCTCTTCAGTTGCTGGTCATCTCAGTGTTCTGCCCTTTGCATGACTTGGCTCCCAGCTGAGGATTTTTAGTGTCCAGGACGGAGGCGGGAAAGTCAGTGCACCGCCCAGGACCAGGCGTCTGCACGCTGAGGACCTGAGGACGCTTGCTGCCTTCTCTCGCGTA